CCCCGACGGGACCTGCTCCGGCCTGAGTCTTGGGGGCAGCTCAGAGCGGAGCCTCTCCCCACTCTAGTGCCCACAGACCCGGCTGCGCTGGCCAGCGGTTTGCAGAGCCCCCGCACGCCCTCCTTCAAGCACAAGTCGCGGTTTTCTCTCCACAGTAGCTTCCACCAGGCATTATATAAGCCGGGAGGGTTTTAAAACGGCACGGGTGGCATGAGGCTCAAGTTGGGTCCTTATTCCCAGGTCCTTTTTCTGAACCAACTTCAGCCTCATACCCCTGTCCCCCTGTGACCTGGAGTCCTAGGCAGGCCCTTCTTACCCATGAGCACCCCCAGCGCTCCCACTCCCTTGCCCTTAAACTGCTATTTCTTGAGGGGCCTCTCAGCTCATTCAGTTGAACTACCTGCACAAAACTGCCTGTCTGCTTCTGACTTAAAGCCCTAGGCAGGTCCTTCTTACCCCTGAGCACCTCTGGAGCTCTTGTTCCCACTCTGTTGCTCTTAAACTACCTGTCCTAGAGGGGCTCTCTTTAAATCCACTGCACCTTTTTTGTCCTCCCACCCCCTCAGTTGAACCTCCTACCCAAAACGGTATTGGTGAACTTTATAAGGAGTCAGAACCAGGGCACGGAAGGGAACAACTTTTGCATGGTCTCTCCAAGACTTTCTAGGGGGGTAGGCTTCTATTGGACACCATCTTCCCTCCACTGACAGCAAATTTCCCAACAAAACCCCTATTGAATCAGCTCTATGTATGCCGAGAGTAGGTATGGCACAGCCCAGGTCAACATGTCATTTTTATAAATTATCACAGGTAATTTCTTCACCCGTCCTTTCAAGACCATGACAATTTTGCTAGTATATGAAACTTCCTGGAACTGAATAGACATCAGAGGGTTCAGTAAGACTACTATAATAATCACTGCCCATGATCAAAATAAGGAAGTGTCCTTGTAAATGAACTATGACTAACAGAAGCATTCCTATGAGGATTGTATATTTTCTTTCTTATAATTTAGTTTCAATTAAAATTGACCAAGTTATAAATAAAATATACTGTGTATTTTTTACTGCATGTTTAGTACTTCAAAAGGCAAATATTTCAGGGTGGTGTGCTGAGAAGCGGGCAAAGCAAAATAGGTCACAAAAGCTGCTTTCTTTATATAATTAAGCTGCTCTACTGAAAAAGAAGACTACTGGTCTAGTGCCAGATACTGACAGAGCCTTTTGTACCCAACCAGTGTGAAGCAACATGCAAAGATCCTTCCTTTACAATATCCTCTTGCAAGGCTTTGTTAAAAAAGTAGTCCATGAGCTCAGTGTGAAAGAGGTAGTCAAGGCTTAGAGTCACAGGCCTCTCAGTGCATCCTGGCTTATGAAAATAGTGTGCATGTTTCCTCATGCATAACGGAGCTCCGGCAGGAATTCTGTGCGCGCCAACCAATCATACAGAGAATAGCCCAGAACTATAGCTGAAAATGTTCTAGCATATTACAACATCTGTCAACTACTGGCTAGCAATGACTACAATAGAATTATTGGCACACTCCCAATCCTGCCCCTATGGAGAACATTCTCCTCTGACTTAATGCTACACACTCTGCTGAAGTAAATGGAATCATTGTGTTGACCATGGTCAACAATTTGTCCTATTAACTTCAGTGAAGCCCTGGAGTTTCAGTTTATTTTTATTTAAGTTGCTATTGATTTCCCAAACTATCAATAATGTTCATCATTTTTAAAGTACAGCGTTGGCCAACAAAATAAAAAAACCCCACTGAAAACACAGTAAGTATAATAATTCCAATAGCAATTTCATTTTGCAACCTGAGGGACCAAAAATTAAAAAAAACAGTACACATATTAAAGAATTTAATGGTCCTTAGATCTTTGATCAAGAAAATCCAAAATAACAAAGTGCATCTAAAACATTCATATAAAGATTTTAAGAAAAGGAAACAAATCAAAAGTATTAATGCAACTCTCTTCCCAGCCCCTCCCCTCCTCCCTCCCCCCCACCCTTCAGCTCATATAAAATAAGCTTGCA